TAATGCACCCCAGGATCCCATTGGCCTTCTTGGCAGCCAGGGCACACTGCTGGCTCATGGTTAACCTGTCGTCCACCAGGACACCCAGATCCCTCTCCGCAGAGCTGCTATCACTTTTCAGTCTCCTTGTTAACCACTGTGCTAGGGACCAGATTTCCTTTCGTGGGTGCTAACATTTAGGACAGCTACAGAAAGTCAGTCTTACCCTAGCTATCCAAGTGAGTTTCTGAAATGCCCCTGTTAGGCTTTGATCACACAGCCCTTGCAGGTGTTTGTGAGAAATGTTGGTGCACGTGCAGATCTCGTCGTGATATTGACTATACCCTCCTCACATGGACTCAGCTGTAGACAGAGTTTCAGGGACTGAGTAGGGGTAAACACCTCAGGCCCTTCTTGCCACTGTGAGAATCGAGGAGAAAAACGGGGACTCTGCATAGTTCTTTCTTACTCATGTAAGTAAATGAGGTGCAGACGGAAAGGCTAAGGAGCTTGAGGAGATTTTGTTCTGACCTCAACCTGAAAGTAATGGCCATAGTACTCGAAATAAAAATGCAACAAATAAGAATTTGATGCTTTCTAAGATCTACCTGAGCTCACTCAGGGTAAGGACAGATTTACCTGCTCCCTGTCGGCACAGAACCATTTCGTTACAGTCCAGTCCAGTCACGAGCCTGTCAGACATACTCTGGTTATTAGGAAGAAGTGAGATGGCAGCCATAAGGAAGCCTTCCTGCTACTGCAGGCTCAGGTTCTGCTTTGCTCCCTGTTCTGCTTATTGCAGACAGGATCAAACCCTTATGATGCAAACTTCTGGAAAAGATGAGTGACGGAGAAATATACTGAGCAGTGCGCAAGTCATGCTGAAAGTCAGTAGGACTTAATTAATCCAGTTAATCTGGGCTCAGTGTCATCCTGGAAGATACTAAGTGCTCTGAAGAACTGATACAATGAGAAAGCCCATGGAGCAATCACTGAGGGTACAAGGCTTTCTTGTCTGATTGTCTTGCAACATTGTTTTAAATATACTTATATTAATAGCCAGTAATGTATGGTTAAATGTGCTGCAGGATCCCAGAACTTTAAAAAAATGACAGAAGCCATCTAGAACCTGCCTTCAGCAGCTGCTGTTAAATCTTTCTTGAGCCTGCTAGCGAGAGAGAGACAGTGAAATTTTTCCCACAGCTTGTAGCAAAGTAAGTGGTCCACTGACGTGTATTGATAGCAGTCACTGGGCAGGTTTGTTTTCGTTCATAGCATTTGAAGGCTGAATATATAATAGTAAATTGAACAGTGACAGAAAATTGCCAGAAATTGTACCCAGGTTCAGGTATATGAT